TCGCAAACCCCGTGCACGGTTCCCAAGTCAAGTGTGGTCCTGCCAGCTTCTGCAAGCCCGGCTTCCACACCCTCCACAGAGGCCACACCTTCCCGAGCGTGCCCCACTAACAGCCTATTATCCACGGGAAGAAGAGCCTTTTCAAAGCTGTCCTGTCGCCAGCTTTCTCTTGCTCATTCCTCTGCTAATAATTACATCAGGTAACGTGTCTGCGTGCATCTGTCTCTCATTAAAGTCTGAGAGAAACGCCAAGGAAGGGGCAGCCTGGTCCACTGCGAGCCCAGTGGCCCAGCACTGTGCCTTCACAGGACAGACACTCGATAAGCGATCACCAGGGAGTCAGAGGCACACTACACTGCACCCACAAGCAGACACAAAGCAGACACTTTAAGTCCCGGGTGCACTCTCCTCCCCAAACGGCTGTCTGCAGGCTGAGCATGTGTCCTCAGTGAGATGCGTCTCACATCTTCTGGGGTCTAACACACAGCGTAAGGGCCCAGGACATAACCCCCAGGGGAGCTGGGCTCCAGAGTTCCGGGAACACTAGCGGTCAACGTAGGTGTTAAAGTAGGTGTCCCAGGTAAATTTCCCAGACGTTAGCAAAGCCAGCTTTCCCACAGACGCGGCTGTCAAATCATCTCCATAAGGCTGGGTGGTTTCCGTGTAGGCGGGGCCAGGTCACAGCTGGAGGGGGTCTTCTACTGTCTTCACGCGCCCTTGACACCAGATAATCACAGACAAATGACAAAAGACCAGAAACGCCGGGCTTGATGTTCTAAGAGTATCGGGGAAAGACACCACAGGAAACATCCTGAAGACTCCAGAATCCACGTGCACGGACAGCTTTTGACACGTACGCGTTATTTCCTAAGTTTGGGGAGAGCTATCTTTAAGTTTCACCGGGTGCCGAAGGGAATGGCAGGAACCTTCCATCGTGGGTGAGACTTCATGCCGACTAAACCCTCATCCCAGAAACAAAGAGCTCAGGTGTATGATTTACACGGAAGCCGGCTGAACGAGAAGGGTTTCCAGAAGGGAGAGGAGACTAGTGCTGGTGATGAGAGTGAGTGGCCAGACCGCAGGAGTCTCATTCTACAAAAAAATTCTCCCCCACTACATAAACAGGGCACTGCTGGGAATGGACGAAGCCAGGAGGGTCCCTGCCTTCAAGGAGTTCATGGTCTAGGAGGGGAGGGGAGGAATAAACCAAAAGTCATACACATAAAAAAATTACCAACTCTAAATGTCCTGAAGCAGAGGGGAGGGTATAGCTCAAGTGGTGGAGCACATGCCTAGCATGCCTGAGGTCCCAGGTTCAGTCCCCAGCACCTCCACTGAAAAATCAAATAAA